GTGCAAGATATCAAAGATCCCTACAGGATCTCCCCTGGATGCTCCTCTAAATGCCCTCTAAGTTCTACCCCCCCCCCGGTTGCTTTGAAGTTTGGTAAACATTTAGATTGAGCTGAGACAGTCTGTCTGGAAACGTAGCCACAAATCGCCATAAACCGCCATGAACTGCTTGAAAGTTTGTGCCAGTTAACCTGCCACGAACTTCGGTTTGCAAACCACGAACCAGCCAAAATTCATCATGAACTTTCATTTGTGAGCCAGTTCGTACCCATCCCTAGCTAGGATTTGAGTACGGTCGTAATGCCAAGTACAAGAATTGTTGATTTAAGTGGAGAGGGATCAGCAAAGGAGCTGATGTGAAACTGCAAGACGTGAAAGTTCCACAGAGCTGACATCTTTGCATTCTTTGGTTTTCTACATGCATGTAAGGGGGAGTAACATGGGAAGAAGCTGCATGAATCTAGATGCTTGGGCAGGAAGGCGCGAACAGAATTGTGTGTGAGAAGGTGATTTCATGGAGACTGTGAATGAGGTTTTATAGCGTACCCATGAATTCTGTATTTGCACAGCTGCTGATTGGGTACAGATTCTGGCCAGGACAATCCTGCTGCATCACCAAGATGAACAAGGAGAACATTCAAAGCTTGGATGCTATCGTTAAAGCTTTCCAACAAGTTCAGGTGAGGTCAACCAGGAGGCATCACCTTTGCGATTGCAGGGAGCATCCATTGAGAAACAGATGTCTCCATGATAAGGGAACACTTGAATGGAACCCCCAAACATTTTGTGCCCCAAGGCTCAATAAGGTCAGGGTCTAAGGATCTCTGTTCTACACTAAAGAAACAAACCAAGGAGAAAGTTAGACTAGAGATTTCTCCTTAGCATCTATTTTCTATGTGCACAGAATTCTTAACGGGGGGGGGGGGCACACACATCCAACTTGCAGTCTGAAGGGATACACAGTGCATTCCTAAAGAGAATTACACCCTTCCAAGACCATTGACTTAAAATGAACTCAGGCAAGGGTACCTCTGTTTAGGATTGCATTGACAGCTTCAGAACCATTAGCCCACATGATCTATTTGTGTGGACTAACTCTACTGAAAGTAACCAGATGGGGAAGTTCATAAGCAGGGCACCACGGCAACAGCCAATCCTCTGTCCTTAATCCTCAGCATCTGGAGGCAGTGGATTTACTGCTGAAACATGAACAATTGGGCTTCTGGGCATCATGACACTACTATCTAGTTCTTTTTGATTATCCTGAAGAGGAGCTAGAGGAAGGGGCAGGGCGTGCCGAGTTTACGAGAGCCCCCCACAGGATGACAGAGGTTTCCACTTTAATATTCTCTAACAGATGGCTTATCCTTCTCTCCTCAAAACCAGCCCAAACGAAAACATCCGATATCTCTTCTGAAGGGTACAGAGCCATGAGAACAATTCTGGCTCTGTATAATAGATAGAGATAGCAACCGGGTGCTGCCAGGTCATGTTCTGAGAATGCAACCTTTTCCTTTTCTCCTTTAGTCCAAGCCTCTTACACCCCGTCACCAGCAGACTGAGGAGGAGGAAAAAGAGCTCCCTGTCGTCCTGACCGATCGCTCTCTCCTGAGCACCACAGTTAACATCCTCTGCAGCAGCGTTCCCATCTACTGGGCTTAGAGGAGAGGTGGGTGACAAGCAGGTCTGACAGATATAAAGGCCCACAACCAGAACTTACCCATTGACTACTACCACACAAAAAAACTCTCGTCGTCACAGTGTTCCTGTCTGAAAGATTCCTGCAATGACTCTTAGGGCGCCTCTCTTCCTACACAATTCTAAAGCCTTTCACTGGGGTCTTATTTCTGGGTATGAATTTAATTAATCCCCCACCAAATGCAAAATCTCTCCCAGCATGGAGGCCCAAGCTACATGATCAGCAGAGTCACGTTGCCCAATGATACCACTTCAGACTGGAAATGGGAGTTTAAGTGCTTGAGTGCTTCCCCTGTATAAAAAATACACACACAAGTGGCATATCTGGGCTTTGAATGGCAGTTACGGAGCTGGGATATTTTGTTGATATCAGGAAATACTCAGACATTCAGACCTCCCCCCAGTTTGAAGTGGCCCAGTCCAGCATCAGTTAAGGCAGCTGAACATGTACCATGTTGTTGTTCTGTTATAACATTGTTCTGTTATAGCATTGTACTGGTGTTGTTCTGTTATAACATCTTCAGAACACCATCTTGGTTTTATGATTCGGAGTGAGTATTGGAGCACCGATATTTTTAATAACTGTATTATGTTGTATTATTGTATTTTTATACTGTTCTTACTGTTTTAATCTGGCATTTATGCCCTTGTTAGCCTTCGGGGAGGGCGGGATACAAATCTAAAGAATAAATAAATAAATAAATAAATAAATAAATGTAAGATCTGAAGGCAGTGGGAATGCATTAGACCCTTTTAAGGCCTATTGGCCTAAATTTTAGAGAATTGTCTTTCAGAGTTGTTTCAGAGTACCTACTGCCAACGAGAATTGTCTTTCAGAGTTGTTAGCTGGTGGTACCTAATGCCAACCATATTTTGACAGACCTTTTTCTTTATAATTTTGATTGATTTGCTGTCTTATGCTGCTGTGTTTTTGATGCTGCTTGCAAAAAAAAAACCCCAACCCTGTAATAAATGAAGCATGGAAAAGCAAAAGCTCAGTTTAGAAAAAAAATGTCTCCCTTATGCCACAACCAGTCCAGCTTGTTGTGGGTGAACTGTGGGCCAGCAGAAAGCCCATGTGGCATAGGTGACATGGACTCAAGATAACCATGGTATCCTTTCCTTTTATCCAAAGAGAGCTCTATGATGCATCGATGCTGAGCAGTGCATAGTTGTTGTTAATCACTTATCACCCAATAGACAAAAGGATCATCATGGTATCAACAGTGGTGTCCAATCCAATGTACCTGGGCCCCACTGTGATCACATCTCACGTTGGTGCCTTTCTGTACCTAATTTTTTCCCTATATGTAGGGTTGCTAAGTGTGAATTCATCCGCAGTGGGGGACTCCCGGCTGGCAGCTGAAGAGCGCGTGTGTGCCGCATCCACGTTGCCTGGAAGTGACACAGGCACGCCAGGCACGCTGGGGGTGTGGCCACGACCATCCGAGGGAAAACCATAGAGTTTTCCCTTGGATGACCATGGCCCCGCCCCCAGCATGCCCGCGTCACTTTTGGGCGACGTGCACGTTGCGGTGGAGTTCTCCCCGGGGCCCGATCCGCTGGCAGCAGGGAACGGGCCTCTGGGGCGGGGGTTTCCCCGTCCCCTGGGGGGACTTGGCAAGCCTACCTAAATGGTTCTAATTAGCTTAAGCCTATAGCTTTCAGACCCTTTTGGAAGCTTATGGGGGCTTCTCATTGAGAAGATTATTGGCAAACAAACAACCAGTAAACGACAGCCTGCCTAACTGTGCACAGGAACGCATGGCCATAAGAAGTTCTAGTGAGTGTTAAAAAGGCTGGCCAGGGCCCTGCATGAACAGTGCCCCAAAAGACACTCCCCAAACCTCTGTAATGCACAGAGTTTAGTGGCAGATTTGCAGGGTTCTTCATCAGAAAAGCCATTGTGGTAGTGGCCAGTTTTAGGAAGAAAGGTTTAAGCCACAATATATGTCATGTGTTTCCTTATCTCTTTTATTCCTCATAAAGTTAGGGGGAATGCCAGGTAAGATAAGAGGGGACAATCCATGATAGCTATTTTTATACATTCAGGACATCAGAATGATAACTGCAATTACTACTTGGAGCTGCAGCTGTTTACCTACCACTGTATGTACCTACCACTGTTAGGGTTGCCAGCTCTGTGTTGTGAAATACCTGGAGATTTTTGGGGTGGAACCCGAGGAGGGCAGGGTGTGAGGAGGAGAGGGACCTCAGCAGGCTAGAATGCCGTAGAATCCACCTTCCAAAGTGGTGAATTTTTCTCCAGGTGAACTGATCTCTGTCACCTGGAGATCATTTGTAATCCCAGGAGATCTCCAGCCACCACCTGGAGTTTGGTAACCCTAACCACTGTATGTGCCAGTGTCCTGTTTCTGGATGCAGAAGAGCAGAATTCTGTGAATGCATAAGGAACATCTTTTCTCACTGACAACAGGAAAGGCCTAGCCACATGCATAATTTACAACACTGAATTATGATCATTTCTTGAATTACCCCTACAATTAACTTCATGCAGAGTGAGGGTTATCAGCAGTATGGGAGGAAATGCAGAAACTTCCCAGGATTCTAAGAAGGGGGCTGCCAATCCTAACAACTATTAACCGTTGGGGTATCTCACACTTCCACTGCAGAGCTCAAGGTGGCATACGTGGGGTGATCCCATTTTGTTGCCACAACTCTGTGGGGTAGATTTGCTGAGAGCAGCTTCCCCACACCAGATGTCAAGTAAACTGGCTGAGTTTGGACTTGAACCCAGATCTAATAACTCACCAGCAATGGACACTGAAATAAATAACAGGTGGGAACATGTATGGCTGTGTGCGCATGCTTGCCAAACAAGTAGATTTACATATGTGTCATTTGTAATATCAAATAATTTGAATTTTTTTGTAAGAACTGAGTTTCAGGTTAGGAAATAGAAGGCATGAAAGGAAGGAACACTACTAGAAAACTGAACACTCTCTGTGAATACTGTACAGTGCAATCCAAGGCAGGCTTTAGGGTTGCCATTCTGCAGTTGGGAGCAGGGGATCCCTGGTTTTTTGGGGCTCTACCCGCCACCAGCCAACTGGCTGGCAGGAGGAAACCCTGCCCCCAAACAGCAATATTGCCGGAAATAAACACAACATCATACGGTGATGCTCTTGTTTTGGGACAAAACTCTATGATTTGAGATTGATTTTACCATAGAGTTTTGCCCAAACACGTTGTGGTGTGATGTCAGCATGTCATGGCACTCTGCCCCACTCCTGGAAAGTTCCCATCCCCCACCAGTGTGGCATTCAGACCTGGTAACTCTAGCAGGCTTACTCAAATTTATGTCCTATTCTATTGAGCTTAATCTAGGATTGCCTGGTCACTCCTGGCAGGTGGCAGAGAATGGGGGGAGACTTGACAAAAGAAAGAGAAAGGCCCCTGCCATGTTGCTGGTTTTGTACTGGAAGTGACATCATCCTGGCAGTGACTTCCAGATGCCACATTGGTATTTGGGCAAAACTCTATGGTAAAACCAGCTTCTACCATAAAGTTTTTGCCCAAATACCAGAGTGACGCCAGGAAGTCACTGATATGATGGCATCACTTCCTGTATGACACTGGCAATGTGGCCTGGGCCTTCCTCTTTTTACTGGTAAGTCCCCCCGCTGGCCAGCTGATTGGCAGGGTGTAAGGGCAAGGGACCCCACCTCTACCTTCTTCCTATTTTATATGCTTTACCTGCTATATTTCCTTCTTTTGAAAAAATGAAATCTGAGATCCTCAAAATGTTTAATTCTGTGCTGGCATGGGCAACCCTCCCTCTTCCTCTCCCTCTCCCTCTCCCTCTCTCTCTATATATACACATACATACACACACACACACAGGCCTGCTGCATATGGATTATTAGTATTGCTGACTGTCAATATTTAATCACTGACTCTTGAGAACAAATGAGCTCTATGAATATCGTGCCACTAATTAATTTGGTACCTCTGTGAGTTTTCCACCTGCTGAGTAGACCCAAGGGAGAAGCACTTTCATGTTGTACAGAGAAGTCAGAAATAATTACCACATGCTGTTCAAAGGACCAGTCGTGGAACATTATTCCAATTAGCTTGAGATGTTCTGGGTGGTTTTCCAGAGTTGCTTCCTACCTAATCTTGTATTAGCTGCATTTGGGGGCTATTTGGGACCTGAATTGTACAGTAAAATAAACCAGTTTTCTTGCACCACATTTGGTCAGTCTTTTGATTTTCATTTAGCTGGGTTTATAATTTCATGATGGCATCACAAACAGAGTGAGAACTGTCCAAGACAAAGAGAGAACAAGAAATTAGGTTGGTCTTATTCCATAATTATCCATCCCTTTCCAGGTTAGTGCACTGGTATTCCAGTTTCTTATACTCAGTTACCTCCCAGTCAAGATGGTATTGATCGAACCAGTAACACCACGGTCTGACAGATAAAGAAATATTGGGGTCTGAAAAGCCACAAGCAAAGCACCCTGGGAGGCAAAGCATTATTCCTTCAGGGCAGCAGACCGGCTAGGCCACATCAGATCCCAAAGAGATTCAGCTCTGTAAAACATGTGCACCCCTGAAGCTTCCCTGCAGACCGGAAGGGTCACCATCTCCAAGCTTTGATGGGCACTAGGAACTGAGCCAACAAGGCAACCTGTCTTAACACTCTCTGCACTCGTTGAGGAACATTAGGATTCTTTTATCATTAACATTCTTTTCTGTAACATTAACACAAGTCTATAGTGGCAGAATAATTTACAGTACTCAGTAATTTCACAGAAATATTGAACATTTTAGTACAGATCTGTGAGGGGGGAACAGTCCAATTGTACTATATTGGCTCCTAAATAATTGAGACTCTGTGATTATGGGGAAACTCCAATACCAGAGTGCATCACCTGGGGCTAGAAGTACAGAGATTGTGCTGCCCAGTCAATATATTGTGCTGCCCTTCCCACTTTCAT